CAACTTTGTATAGGTAGTGGAAGCATTCATTCCAGTGTTCATTGTAGACAAGACATCTGCCACCAACCACAAATCACTACGTGACTTCTGGTCCATTGGTCTAATGAACATTTCCTGAAAGGAAATATAGCAATAAAAATAGAAGACAAATCAGAAACAAATGGGGGGCAATGTGCACTATTGATGACAATGTTACATAGCATATTTTCAACTGAGGTTATTTGCACTTTTTGAGTTAAGAAATTGAGGGAAAGTTACTGCTTGTGCAATATTGGGGAGCATGGTCAGAGTCCAGGAGAACTTTCCATATGTAGTAATCTACTTGAAATTAACTATAAAAGACTGGAAAAATTTAGAGAAAAATGGAGGATAATGGTTGTTGCTTTCAATGTATATGTAGGTACTCTCTGTAGGTAAATGGAAATATACACTTTATCCAATGTAAAATAGCAATACTATATATATATAGTTAATGGGTATAAATCTGATGGGCTTTCAGGAGGTGGTCACATGACTAGTTTCCTGAATAATCAAAAATGTGAATGTTGTGGTGCTGCATTGTAGCTTCCTGAATATAAAAAGGACTCGTATCTGCCATGCTTGCAATGGCCCTCTTGCACAAGTTCAAGAGGTGGTGATGGCTGAAAACGAAATGGGTAAGTACTTCTTTGTGCTTAACGTCTTGAAAGACTTAACGAACGTTTTTATTCTTCTCTTCTAGAGATTCTCAACCGTGACCCAACACCATCCAATGTCCGCAAGCGACCCGCGCGTAGAGACGGCGATACACCGTGTCGAAGCCTGAGGGATTGCGGGCCGTGTAGTATGTTGAATGGCATTGGGGGTGTTCAAGAACTGCCAATACAAAGGTTCGTTTAGTTATTCAAGACTCCACGCGACAGGGAGTACTTACCATTTTGTTTACAGTGAAACGTGCCTACCCGACCTGCAGCAGTGCTCCGTGCACTATTTGATTGCATCAGACCCCTAAGGGCTTCTAGTGCTGGCTAGGAGAGTAGACACCTTGTGGACATTGTAACCCAAAAGGATGCGGCCATCCTTGAGCTGCTTGTAGCGAAGAGAATTCTTCGAATCTCTTGGTCTATAACGCTGTTGATTAGGGGACTGAGGATTCTGGATGACAATAAACGAATAACCCCTGTGAAACACCAGACGGTACGTACCCTCCTTCATCGTCTTATCCTGGCTTTGAGATTGTCGCACGTTGTTGGCGTTGAACATTTGTTGTGTGAGCTCGGGCACTGCCATGGTGCCATACTATTGGCTGCCATGAGCTGTCAGGGGGCAAAGCCAGTCATGAGGGAGTGAGGAACTGGAGGGCAGTCAATACATGCGCTTAGAGAATTGACATCAACCCGCGTACCCATGTTATCGACAAGCTTACTCAAATCCAAGCGAAGAGAAAACCTTGTGGGGGGAACCGCACCCTCGAGGTCACACGGTAAAACCAGAGTAACGCAGGCGGCGCACGGCATACCATCCACTTAAATGCCAGCCAGTAACGAGCGGGCCATGGTCGGTTAAGAAGGAAGTGTTACAGAAACATGATGACACATCAACTTCGTTATGCCGCGCGAGGCCGCTGATATCAAGCAGGCTTAGACCCATAATACTTCTTTCTATTTACATGCTATAAGTTGAGCTATGGTGAAGTGGT